CTGGCGCTCGGCCGTAACCACCTGCGGTAAAGCGGGGGGCTCAGCCGGAGGAAGACCCCCAGAGTGTCTGGTGACGGCCTCCTGCAGCACTTTCCGGCGGTTCTTCCCAGTGGTCGAGTGGCGGGCCTCCCGGGTCCCCTCCAATGAGGAGAGAGCGGTCCCGGTCCCCCCCTTACTTCACGCGTAGGTGTGAAGTACCGCAGGGGATTCTGGGATTAAGAGTCCTTTTAGGCCTCTTTGTGATCTCAGTGAATAACTCAAATGAGGTGCAAGCCCAAGTCCATTGTTTGACTGTCCTAAGCCTGCGTGGCCCAACACTATGCACCCCTGATATTGAACTTTTAACTGTCTCCTTACGTCCGTTCTGTTTGCCAAGGGAGTTTCCACTGGCCACTTTTTTCATACGTCTCTTTCATATAACCCCAAATATGTTTTTGTTTTTTAAACGCTGCTAAGGATTTCTGCTAACGAAGTTTTGTTATGTCCTTGTATGCAATGGTAATAAAGATTGTATCTATCTATTTACATATTTAAAGGTACAGACACAGAAACAGCCTGTTCTGAGCAGGGCTGAAATAGAGGGGTTTATAGGCATGATCAAATACAGGATCAGAGTGGATTTATAACAAGAAACTTCACACACATGTTTTGAGGAGTTCTGACATTTAATTACACTGAAGAGGAGGAGAATATGTGACCTTTAACCTGTACTGATACGAGATGAACTTGCACCACAGAAAGATAAAACAAAGAGTAATATCCAGATTAACCCTCATCAGCTTTTCATTTCTATATCATTGTGATTATTCCACCTTTGAAGTAGTATGAAGGTGTTTCCATCCCCCTGATAATGTCTCTGCTCTAGTCACAGACTCCCACAGAGGAGATGAAGACCATAGTGAGGCTCCACCTTCTGCTGTGTGCGGTTGGCTTGTGTGTGTATATGAGAGGGTACATGTTGCAGGAACCTTTTCTGCATCAAACCACCCGGGACTGTGAGAGCAATTCACCAGCAAAGGATCCGTGGTTCAATGAGCGTTTCAACAAATCAGTTAAACTCTTTATGTCTCCAAATGACCGTCTACCAGAGCGAACCTTTCAGTGGTGGAGGGTAAGTGACCTCTAATACATCATTACATCTTCATCTTATCCATATACTGGACTAACTGCTGTGTGTGTGTGTGTGTGTGTGTGTGTGTGTGTGTGTCTGTGTGTGTGTGTTTCAGCACATGCGGGGAGAAAAGGGTAACTTCAGTGTGTATAAAGTGGCGGTGTCCGAGGCGCTTCAGGTCCTGCCTCACTCTCCTAACGTTCTGGAGCCGACCCCCCGGAGCTGCAGGAGTTGTGCTGTGGTCGGTAACTCTGTCAGCTTGAGGGGATCACGTTATGGACCTCTTATAAACTTCCAGGATCTTGTCTTTAGGTAAATCCTACAGCTATTTTCCTCATGTCTCAGTATGTTTACATGAAGTTAGCAGCGTCACTGTGAGGCGAGTCAGCACGCAGCCTCATCAAACAGAGGACGCCATGGCGCTCAGCTGGAAGAGAGCTCTCGCCATAGCATTGCTCATGTGGAGAAATAGAATAATGTGGAGACAGTCATGGAGAGTAAAGAGAGGACAGCTTCTTATGGTCGCCCTCCAGATGCTTCAGACCCAAACTAATCGTTCTGAGTGCTCTACAGTCCATGTTGGGTTTGGACTTGAAGTTGAACAGCTGAAATGTTGTGGTCATCCTTCAGATATCACAGATAGAGAGAGGGAGAGTCTGCGTCGTAAACGAGCCAAAATGAAAGCTCAGAGTAGGAAATGTTTTTCACTCGCTCGTGACGTAGGTCAACAGGAAGAAGGTCCAGTAGTACCTCAGGTTCGTTGGCCGTAGTTAGATTTCTTTTGCAGCCAGCGAGATGGTGACATCCAGGACGACACAGAAATGACAAAACAGATGTAAAATTAAAAAACATGTTGGCGAGAAAGAACTATTTATTACCTACTAAAACATCACTAACTGGAAGGGGAGATATCGCCACCTGCTGGTGCGGAGTGGAATGACTTCTGTCAATAAATGGATTCTTTCTCTGAGCTTTGTACTGGGTCAGGGACATAAGTCCAGTTTGGCACCTTCTCTGTTTGATGAATTTGTAACAAGACGTCAGGATTCAAGTCGAATCAACACACGCGCTTCAGTAAGAGGTAACTGTTGCATTCCAATGAGAAAAACCTCATTTGGACAATCAGCCTTCTCGGTTATTGGAGCTAATTTATAAAATGGTCTACCCACTGAACTGAAAATGCTACACAGTTTAAATGTTTTTAACAAAGGTATTAAATCATGGCTGAAGGAGAAACAACCTTGTTCTCACACCTAAATGCACATGAGCTCACAAATGTCTGTCGTATATTTCTCTCTTTGTAACTGTATTTTATCCCTGTTGCATTCATAACTGCGCTGTATTTATAACTGAACTGTTTCCTTTTTCTTACCCTTTTTATCTTTATCTCTGTTGTTTCTAAAAGCCTCCCGTGGGCAGGTGTTGCAAATTAGCATTTTGCTATAAACACTAAGAGAAGTGCATCTGGGACTTGTGCATGGTTAAATGTTACAGCACCAATGTTACTCTATGTCCATGTTAAATAAACAATAAATAAATAAACTGTAGCTTCACTTAACATACTGGCTGAAAAATAAGACGTGTTTGAAAAGGAAGAACGTAAAGTTTCTGGATCTAAGCAGTAGTCTTGTGCTTTGAAGCACTGTGACATGTGAAATGTTTGCACCAGGAGAGACTGGTTTCATGAAATATTTCCCTCTGTACAATCCAGAAAAGGAGGAGAGGAGAGGAGGTGTGAGGACAGAGGTGAGGAGGTGTGAGGCAGGAGGAGAGGAGGTGTGAGGCAGGAGGATGAGGAGGTGTGAGGCAGGAGGAGAGGAGGTGTGAGGCAGGAGGAGAGGAGTGTGAGGCAGGAGGATGAGGAGATGTAAGGCAGGAGGAGAGGAGATGTGAGGTAGGAGGAGGAGGGGAAGAGGTGTGAGGCAGGAGGAGAGGAGGTGTGAGGCAGGAGGAGGTGTGAGGCAGGAGGATGAGGAGGTGTGAGGCAGGAGGATGAGAAGGTGTGAGGCAGGAGGATGAGGAGGTGTGAGGCAGGAGGAAGTGTGAGGCAGGAGGCGAGGAGGTGTGAGGTAGGAGGATGAGGTGTGAGGACGGAGGTGAGGAGGTGTGAGGCAGGAGGAGAAGAGGTGTGAGGCAGGAGGAGAAGAGGTGTGAGGCAGGGGGAGACAAGGTGTGAGGCAGGAGGATGAGGAGGTGTGAGGCAGGAGGAGAGGAGGTGTGAGGCAGGAGGATGAGGAGGTGTGAGGCAGGAGGAGAGGAGGTGTGGGGCGGGAGGAGGAGAGGAGGTGTGGGGCAGGAGGAGGAGAGGAGGTGTGAGGCGGGAGGAGGAGGAGAGGAGGTGTGAGGCAGGAGGAGGAGAGGAGGTGTGAGGCAGGAGGAGAGGAGGTGTGGGGCAGGAGGAGGAGAGGAGGTGTGAGGCAGGAGGAGAGGAGGTGTGGGGCGGGAGGAGGAGAGGAGGGGTGGGCAGGAGGAGAGGAGGTGTGGGGCAGGAGGAGGAGAGGAGGTGTGAGGCAGGAGGAGAGGAGGTGTGGGGCAGGAGGAGGAGAGGAGGTGTGAGGCAGCAGGAGAGGAGGTGTGAGGCAGCAGGAGAGGAGGTGTAAGGCAGCAGGAGAGGAGGTTTGAGGCAGCAGGAGAGGAGGTGTAAGGCAGCAGGAGAGGAGGTTTGAGGCAGCAGGAGAGGAGGTGTAAGGCAGCAGGAGGTGCAGAAGGTGTGAGGAAGGAGGAGAAGAGGTGTGAGGCAGGGGGAGAGGAGGTGTGAGGCAGGAGGATGAGGAGGTGTGAGGCAGGAGGAGAGGAGGTGTGAGGCAGGAGGATGAGGAGGTGTGAGGCAGGAGGAGGAGGAGAGGAGATGTGAGGTAGGAGGAGGAGGGGAGGAGGTGTGAGGCAACAGGAGAGGAGGTATGAGGCAGGAGGATGAGGAGGATGAGGAGGTGTGAGGCAGGAGGAGAGGAGGTGTGAGGCAGGAGGAGGAGGAGAGGAGGTGTGGGGCAGGAGGAGGAGAGGAGGTGTGAGGCAGGAGGAGAGGAGGTGTGGGGCAGGAGGAGGAGAGGAGGTGTGAGGCAGGAGGAGAGGAGGTGAGGGGCAGGAGGAGGAGAGGAGGTGTGATGCAGGAGGAGAGGAGGTGTAAGGCAGCAGGAGAGGAGGTGTAAGGCAGCAGGAGAGGAGGTTTGAGGCAGCAGGAGAGGAGGTGTAAGGCAGCAGGAGAGGAGGTTTGAGGCAGGAGGAGGAGAGGTGTGAGGCAGCAGGAGAGGAGGTTTGAAGCAGGAGGAGTAGAGGTGTGAGGCAGGAGGATAGGAGGTGTAAGGCAGCAGGAGAGGAGGTTTGAGGCAGCAGGAGAGGAGGTGTAAGGCAGCAGGAGAGGAGGTGTGAAGCAGGAGGAGTAGAGGTGTGAGGCAGGAGGATAGGAGGTGTGAGGCAGGAGGATAGGAGGTGTGAGGCAGGAGGATAGGAGGTGTGAGGCAGGAGGATGAGGAGGTGTGAGGCAGGAGGATAGGAGGTGTGAGGCAGGAGGATGAGGAGGTGTGAGGCAGGAGGATAGGAGGTGTGAGGCAGGAGGATAGGAGGTGTGAGGCAGGAGGAGAGGAGGTGTGAGGCAGGAGGAGAGGAGGTGTGAGGCAGGAGGAGAGGAGGTTTGAGGCAGGAGGATAGGAGGTGTGAGGCAGGAGGAGAGGAGGTGTGAGGCAGGAGGAGGTGCTGGAGGTGTCTTCGAGCCTCTGCAGCAGGTATGTATGTATGAAATGAAAATGTATGAAAATATGTTCCAGATCACCCTCTACAACCTCAGAGTCATGGCAGTTCGCCTCCGCCCTTGGTAACAATCAAGCACTCGTAGCATAACATATTCAATTTCTCAGCAGGTAATGTAGGTTTGAAGACACACCCGCACCACAAAACAAACATCCTTCATCGAGGATGTGACAGCCCTGGTTGGGTCTACGAGGACAGGGATTCAGCAGCCCTTAATTTTTTGGCTGCGACGCTCTTACATGGACTCTTAGTCTGATATAAAGACAACTCCTGGAACTGGACCTGAATCCAAATCTGCTATCAGGTAGGACAGATTTAAAACACGTCCAGAAGTAGAGAGAGAGAGAGAGAGAGAGAGAGAGAGAGAGAGAGAGAGAGAGAGAGCGCCTAGTGGTCACTGCATCAGGACATTTTGGTAAGGCCGTGAGTACATGGGCTGATAAATCCTGTAGGACTTATTACAGCATAAGAACAAACTTGTTCAAACTCAACCCTCCAATAAGGATTTGGATCAAAATTTTCAAAAGTGTGATTGAGCCAATTCTGTTATACGGAAGTGAAGTCTGGGGTCCATTAATCAACAAGCAGCTCTGGCACTCAAACCCAGTGGAAAGAGTCCATCTGGAGTTTTGTAAAAACATATTACGAGTCCTCAGAAACTGTCCAAACCACGGCTGCAGAGCCGAGCTGGGCCAGTTCTCTCTACTGATCCACATTAAAAAAAGAAGGATGACCCAAATATAAAGACATTAGAGACACCTTCTTTCCCAGATTTAATGATCGAATCCCCGGCTTTCTTTCCCTGGAGGGTTCTATTTAGGTTAATCAAATCTATTCAACTAACTTTATTCATCTGTTAGGAACTTCATTTGTGTAAAAGAGCATCAGTGCGCATACAGCTAAACACAAAAACAACAGCAGAAACACACACATACAAGTGGCTCTCTTAAAAGCATGATAAATAGGTCATAAATAATTGTTATAAGCTGTTATTCAATGTTCTTCATGTCACAATACATGACTGGTCACAATATAAGACATGTTTACTCATGCCAATAAAGCCATTTGAATTGAACAAAAAAGTGAATTGAATTGAATTGAGAGAGGGGGGAGAGAGAGAGGGAGAGAGCGAGAGGGGAGAGAGACAGAGACAGAGACAGAGACAGAGGGAGAGAGAGTGTGAGAGAGAGACAGAGAGAGAGAGAGGGGAGAGAGAGAGAGAAGAGGAGAGAGGGGAGAGAGAGAGAGAGAAAGAGGGGGGGAGAGAGAGGGGGAAAGAGAGAGGGGAGAGAGAGAGACAGAGGGGAGAGAGAGAGAGACAGAGGGGAGAGAGAGAGACAGAGGGAGAGAGAGGGAGAGGGGGAAAGAGAGAAAGAGAGAGAAGGGAGAGAGAGAGAAGGGAGAGAGAGAGGGAGAGGGAGAGAGAGAGAGAGAGAAAGAGGGGGGAGAGAGAGGGGAAAGAGAGAGAGAGAGAGAGACAGAGAGAGAGAGAGAGGGAGAGAGAGAGAGAGGGGAGAGAGAGAGAAAGAGGGGAGAGAGGGAGAGACAGAGGGAGAGAGAGAGAGAGAGAGAGAGAGAGGGGAGAGAGAGCGAGAGAGAGGGAGAGGGAGAGAGAGAGGGAGAGAGGGAGAGGGAGAGAGGGAGGGAGGGAGAGAGAGAGGGAGGGAGAGAGAGGGGAGAGAGAGAGAAAGAGGGGAGAGAGGGAGAGATAGAGGGAGAGAGAGAGAGAGAGAGAGGGGAGAGAGAGCGAGAGAGAGGGAGAGGGAGAGAGAGAGAGAGAGAGAGGGGAGAGAGAGCGAGAGAGAGGGAGAGGGAGAGAGAGAGGGAGAGAGAGAGAGAAGAGAAGACGAGAGAGACAGAGGGAGAGAGAGTGTGGGTGAGCGAGCCCCCAGGCAAATTGTGGTGTGATTAAAAACTTGATGAACTGTGTTTGTTGTAAATGACTTCATCAGCCGCTCCGCTCGTCAGCTGGAGTCATAAAGCCTGAAAATCCTGCTCTGTTTATTATAAACACATTATTAAGAGTCCTGTGTGTGTGTGTGTGTGTGTGTGTGTGTGTGTGTGTGTGTGTGTGTGTGTGCGTGTGTGTGTGCGTGTGTGTGTGTGTGTGTCTGTGTGTCTGTGTGTGTTCATGTTGCTCCGTGATGATGATGTCGTGCTCGTCCACACTTCCTTAAATGAACTTCTCCCCTCATTGTATATCTTGTGGGCGTTCATTTTTAAACTGTTTTTCTGTTGGCATGTGGAAGATGATGAGAGATAATAACAGGTTGTCAGACAAACAGATGAAAAGTCAGGTGAAAGTATTCCAGTTGGTCCTCATTCCTAAATGTAGACAGGCTGAGGCAAAGGGGGTAGCAGCAGCTCGTTATTAATAACCCTTTCACGTCAAACAGGAGGCTGTGAGAAGGTCGAGTTCAGGAGAGAAAACAACTTCACAGGGTGTGGTGTGATACCTCATGCCTCAGGGAGGCAGGTGAGAGAGAAATTGTCCTGGGTGTGGCAACGTCTGAAGTATGAAGACAGACTGATGCGGGGGGGGGCAGCTCATCATGGAGAGGGTGGGCTGTGATTTTGTCCTTCATCCTCCTCTCAGCCGCCGTCCCTCCACAGAGCGAGCCTCATTTAGCTGGTTGAGCCCACTGACCTCAACAGTCTTAATGCCCCGACAAAAAACACCTGAAGGAGAATCTGTGCTCTGTACTGACAATACGGAACTGCATTGTTTTTGTAAGTGACAATGGGCGCTACCTGCACACCAAAAACCCTAAGGGTGAAAAGCGGTGAGACACATGTTTAAAAGTAGAAGGGTGGCACGTTAACTTCAACTCTCTATTTATTTATTCATTCATTCCACTTAAACTGTATTCTTTCAGTCACCACAACTGTCTATTTATTTATCATTATTATCATTCATTCACTGAACAGCAATTGCTCTGGCCACTTTTTGCATATTTCTCTTTCATATAGCCACAAATATATTTTTGTTTTTGTAAACGCTGCTGTAAAGGATTGCTGCTAACAAAGTTTCGTTGTGCCCTTGCATACAATGATAATAAAGATTGTATCTATCTATTTACATATTTAAAGGTACAGACACAGAAACAGCCTGTTCTGAGCAGGGCTGAAATAGAGGGGTTTATAGGCATGATCAAATACAGGATCAGAGTGGATTTATAACAGGAAACTTCACACATGTTTTGAGGAGCTCTGACATTTAATTACACTGAAGAGGAGGAGAATATGTGACCTTTAACCTGTACTGATACGAGATGAACTTGCACCACAGAAAGAATATCAAAGACGAATATCCAGATTAACCCTCATCAGCTTTTCATTTCTATATCATCGTGATTATTCCATCTTTGAAGTAGTATGAAGGTGTTTCCATCCCCCTGATAATGTCTCTGCTCTCGTCACAGACTCCCACAGAGAAGATGAAGACCATAGTGAGGCTTCCCCTTCTGCTGTGTGCGGTTGGCTTGTGTGTGTATATGAGAGGGTACGTGTTGCAGGAACCTTTTCTGCATCAAACCACCTGGGACTGTGAGAGCAATTCATCAGCAAAGGATCCGTGGTTCAATGAGCGTTTCAACAAATCAGTTAAACTCTTTATGTCTCCAAATGACCGTCTACCAGAGCGAACCTTTCAGTGGTGGAGGGTAAGTGACCTCTAATACATCATTACATCTTCATCTTATCCATATACTGGACTAACTGATGTGTGTGTGTGTGTGTCTGTGTGTGTCTGTGTGTGTCTGTGTGTGTGTGTTTTAGCGCATGCGGGGAGAAAAGGGTAACTTCAGTGTGTATGAAGAGGCGGTGTCCGGGGCGTTTCAGGTCCTTCCTCACTCTCCTAATGTTCTGGAGCCGACCCCCCGGAGCTGCAGGAGTTGTGCTGTGGTCGGTAACTCTGTCAGCTTGAGGGGATCACGTTATGGACCTCTGATAAACTTCCAGGATCTTGTCTTTAGGTAAATCCTACAGCTATTTTCCTCATGTCTCAGTATGTTTACATGAAGTTAGCAGAGTCACTGTAAGGCGAGTTAGCACGCAGCCTCATCAAATGGAGGACGCCATGGCGCTCAGCTGGAAGCGAGCTCTCGCCATAGCATCGCTCATGTGGAGGAATAGAATAATGTGGAGACAGTCATGGAGAGTAAAGAGAAGACAGCTTCTTATGGTCGCCCTCCAGATGCTTCAGACCCAAACTAAACGTTCTGAGTGCTCTACAGTCCATGTTGGGTTTGGACTTGAAGTTGAACAGCTGAAATGTTGTGGTCATCCTTCAGATAGGAAGAGGGAGAGTCTGCGTCGTAAACGAGCCAAAATGAAAGCTCAGAGTAGGAAATGTTTTTCACTGGCTCGTGACGTAGGTCAACAGGAAGAAGGTCCAGTAGTACCTCAGGTTCGTTGGCCGTAGTTAGATTTCTTTTGCAGCCAGCGAGATGGTGACATCCAGGACGACACAGAAATGACAAAACAGATGTAATATGAAAAAACACGTTGGAGAGAAGGAACTATTTATTACCTACTAAAACATCACTAACTGGAAGGGGAGATATCGCCACCTGCTGGAGCGGAGTGGAATGACTTCTGTCAATGAATGGATTCTCTCTCTCTGAGCTTTGTACTGGGTCAGGGACAGAAGTCCAGTTTGGCACCTTCTCTGTTTGATGAATTTGTAACAAGACGTCAGGATTCAAGTCGAATCAGCACACGCGCTTCAGTAAGAGGTAACTGTTGCGGAGGAAAACCTCATTTGGACAATCAGCCTTCTCGGTTATTGGAGCTAATTTATAAAATGGTCTACCCACTGAGCTGAAAATGCTACACAGTTTGAATGTTTTTAACAAAGGTATTAAATCATGGCTGAAGGAGAAACAACCTTGTTCTCACACCTAAATGCACATGAGCTCACAAATGTCTGTCGTATATTTCTCTCTTTGTAACTGTATTTTATCCCTGTTGCATTCATAACTGCGCTGTATTTATAACTGAACTGTTTCCTTTTTCTTACCCTTTTTATCTTTATCTCTGTTGTTTCTAAAAGCCTCCCTGGATCTAAGCAGTAGTCTTGTGCTTTGATGCACTGTGACATGTGAAATGTTTGCACCAGGAGAGACTGGCTTCATGAAATATTTCCCTCTGTACAATCCAGAATTAATGGTGGTAGGATCAAAGGATTTGAGGCAGACGTCGGGAACAAAACCACTCATCACATCATGTTCCCTGAGAGTATGCAGCACTTGGACAACACCACTCGTCTGGTCATGTTTCCATTCAAGACAGCTGATATCCGTTGGATTGGGAAGGCCATATCCACAGGATATTACGGAACGTGAGTCCGATTTTATACACACATAACTTTGTCTTTCATAAGACCAGGTATGAGTATAACGGGACTAAGCTTTGTAAATCAATCAATCTTTATTTCACATCACAGAAATTGACAAAGTAGACCTAAACTTTTTCATCAGACACTTTCTCTGCATCAGTTCACCTGTATAGGCTTTTATAATTTACCTGGAAATGAAGTATTGAAGTTTGAAATGTCATGTCTCAACAGCCCACACTTCAGAGCAAAGGTCAGAGCCAACAAGGATTTGGTGAGTATTTTCAGTTGATTGATTGATGATCAAATGTATTGGCTGTAAAAACGTTCATATAAAGTTTGAGGTGTGTTTGTGATTCTTAACAGGCGATGGTGGTCAACCCGGTCTTTATGCAATACGTCCATGAAGCATGGCTGGAAAAGAAGGGCTATTATCCTTCCACTGGATTCATGACTTTGGTTCTGGCCCTGCATCTTTGTGATGAGGTGAGTTAAATGTGTCAGTACCCCCCTGGTGCCTCCCCCTGGTGTCTCCCCCTGGTGTCTCCCCCTCATGTCTCCCCCCATTTAAAGTCTTTCAGGCGTGTTTGGATAAATAAAAACGGTCTCATGTTGAGAGATAGTAGTGGGCGATCTTAGATCGTGAAGGATTTTAACTTGCTGACAATCTGCCAAAGCAGAGAGATCGTAGAACCAGGCTTATATGTTTATTCTACCATGCTGCAGTTTATGCTCCTACACAGACGCGTCTCTCCCCTCCCTCCTTTCTTGCTCCGCAGCGGTGAAAACAAAACTTAAAAGTAAAGTCTGCAAAAACAACTCCATCCCGGTTATATGCAACTGTTCTGATATTTTCATTCAAACCGACACGCTGTGAGCAACAGTTAACTTATCTGCATAGTTTGCACAGTTAAGATTAGCCTACATCTCGGATAGCGACACAAGAAACTGTTTAATGAGCCGGAGAGACGTTCACAGTCTGCAGAGAGACAGACAGAGCGGAGCACAGACAGTCAGTGATGGGAGATATAATCCCGGTGTTTAAAATGTTGCTGTCGGTGTTTTCTGCTCTCTCTCAGTTTTTTAAAGTTACTATCAAGCCTCTCCACCCGAAGCTCACCTGTTGTGATAACGGAAACTATAGGGATTAGGCTAAACGATGTTATAAAGCAGCAGGCAGGTGAGAGTGAGTAACCATGGTGACTGTCTGTCTGTCAATCAACAATGTCCCGCCCCCTCTATGAATTAAACTATTCTGTCAGTAAAACTTACTTTTATAATGTGTCACAGAATGAACACATTCTGTATTATGTTTGATTAATATAAACAAAACTAAAGTTAGTCCACTGATGTCGTAAAAAACAACAAAGGCTGCAGAGCCTGTATGAAGCTACAGCTGTAGGAACTCTGCAGGGCTAAAATAGAACAGAAACACAAGAACTCGAAGTCTACATGTTTTTAAATGAATGCATCACTGCATGAAAATGTTCCTGATGAACATAAAAAGAGGACACATAACTAAATCATAATTTCAAAGTGGTGAGGAAAACCTTCAAATTGTGCATAAATATTGATCAAATTGAGGGAAAGACATTTCTGTTGCTAAAGATGTTCTGGGTGAGACCTCCTACAAAGATGTTTTTTATAGATTAAACTTGTCAGCGCAGTTTTTGTCTATTGAAAAACATTATACAGGGAAATAAGTTTGGTTGAACTGGTCAGTAACTTACAAATTTGTCTAAAGAACAGTATGAAAAAAATTGTGATAAAATTGTGATCGTGATTTTGCCCAAAAAAAATCGTGATATGATATTTTTCCCATATCGCCCACCTCTATTTAGAGATATACACTGTTATGAATATTTGTGATTTGAAGAGTTTGATCTTTTTCAGTCATGTTTGTTTGTTTTTTTCACAGTTACACGTGTTTGGTTTTGGAGCAGATGAAAATGGAGACTGGAACCATTACTGGTCCTTAAACGCTTGGAAGCTTATCAAAACTGGAGGCCATCCCGGAGAATTTGAGTACCAAACCATCGAGAAGCTGGGGGAGCATCGAATAATCCGCTTTTATCGTGGCTGGGGTCCTCATGCTCTTCATTTAATGCACAAGGAGAGCAAAGTGTAAGGCTGAAGACATGGGACTAATTGTTCATCATCAGGGATGTCAAATGAGTCTTTCTAAGTTAATCGCAATTAATCATACTTTTCATTGATGTTTGAAATTCACAGTTTTTATGCTTTTATTTTGTATTTTTGTTGGGGGTACTTTACTTGCTGTTTTAATTGAACCCTGCTTTTATTTTTGAAATAAAGTAAGGAACCAGAGTGACCACGCTCCTGTGTAGACAAAAACTGCCCTGAGAATGTTTTGGTGGTAGATTAGAAAACAGCATCTGGAACGCAGTGAAACGGTAGAGCGCGGCTTTTTGCACTTTGATGTTGAACAACATGGAGGAGCGAGGAGGAGAAGAGCTCTTTCTCTTTCTGCTGGACATAGTTTAGTCATTTAAGTGAATGATTTATGATGTCCTTTGAAGTGTACCGATGTCGTCTTCTTCTAATGAATGTTCGACAGGCTTTGAGCTGTGTGATCCTGCCCCCTGGAGGCTAAGTGGTTGTCATGCAGCGCCTCAACCTTTTCAGTCAGAAAGGAGGGGTGGATTCGAATTGTCCCTCCTATCTCCTTTCACTATCCACTTTACCTTAACCCTGGGGAAAGCGTCATGGTTAAGGAAAGATGTTAGGAGACGTCATAAAGGACTTAAGGAAAGGCGATCGCGTTGCTCTGACAATCCGACCACATTTCCACTAGGCGACGTCATTAATTGCGGCGGGCCAGCGGAGGTTAATGACGTGGGTCCGCCGTGTTGAAACTACAATGTTCCGAAAATGGACTACAAAAAGCGCATCTAAAAAACTTTCCCCTGTGCCTTCTTGCCGGTGAAATAATCCTAATTACCACAAGGTTGGGATTGAAATAAAATAAACATAGGCTACCAGGCTACAAGTAACAAAAGTGAAACCATCACATTCCTGTGCACTCATAAATCAACATCAAAATAAGTATGATTGTATGAAATTAATTGTTACATTTATGCAGGATATAGCCTACACATCTTTTTCAGCATACAAATGTACAACTGCACAAAGCATTCTTAAGTGAATGAAATATGTTGAATAAAACATCATCTGGATAAAAATGTCTCTTATCTTTTATCCCTTACATGATCTGTGTCACTTTACGGTCATCGTTAATGTTCGTGAACGGTCGGATGCGCAACTCGCTTTAAATGTTGCGGCTGCAAGGAATTGTGGGGCGTCATTAGAATAATAATAATAATGATAATAATAACTTTATTTATATAACACCTTTTTAAAAAAGCAGGTTTACAAAGTGCTTTGGCAAGCAGCAAAAACAAGAACAACACTAACTAAACCAAACACAGAAGAACATAAACAACAGCAAGAACAGAACAAATGCAAAATACTAAAAATAATTAACTACAATTCAACAGAAAAGAACCCATAGTGCACGATACCCAACAGACATATATAACCCGACCATCACAAGAACCATCATAAGAACTCAGGCAAAACAAGAACCCAACAACACGAGCTGAGACAAGAGGAGCAAAGACTTAAAATGATGTAAGAAACTAAAAGAGCTAAAAGCAAATAAAAAGATAACAGCAATAAGAAGGTAAAAGCAGTAAAAGAAATAGAAACAAGTGGTTAAAAGATCAAAAAAAATATATATTAATAAAAATAAAAAGTAAATATAAATATAAAACATAAATAGACAAAGTAAGTAAGATAAGAAATGACCAAGTTAAAACACAAGAGGAGTTAAGATATGAGCATAAATACGAGATAAGAGCATAAATAAAAGGACAGTAAGAAGTAAAATAAGATAAAAATAGTAAAACCAGTAAGAAAAGACATTAAGAAGACGACATCACATAAAAGCAAGTCTGTAAAAGTACATTTTAAGAAGGGATTTAAAAGAATTGAGGGAATCTGCAAGTCTTATTTCCTCAGGGAGGTCGTTCCAGCGTCGAGAGGCCCTGACTGAAAAGGCCCGGTCACCTTTAGTTTTAAGTCTCAACTTTGGAACGACCAGGAGGCCCCCACCTGAGGATCTAAGACTGTGGGCTGGCTCATATGGTGTCAGTAGCTCTGTTATATAGCTTGGAGCCAGCCCCGTCTGTGCTTTAAAAGTAATGAGTAAAATCTAATCGATTCTAAAACTTACAGGAAGCCAATGTAATGAAGCTAAAATTGGAGTGATGTGATAGAGGTAGAGGAGGAGTAGTTACCGATGGTGACCGCAAAGGTTCTTTCGAAAAAATAAGAGTCCTATCCTTTAAACCAACCCATTTTCTGAGATGATCAATTCAAATTGTGTGATCAACAGTATCAAAAGCTGTGCTAAGAGCTAAAAGAATTACAATTGTGCCCTCCCCTCTATCTGCTGCTAAAAGAAGGTCATTGGATACCTTGAGGAGGGCAGTCTCTGTGCTGTGACAAGCTCTAAAACCGGATTGGAATTTCTCAAAGAGGTTATTTTCAGTCATAAAAGATAAAAGTTGTGTTGAAACCACCTTTTCTTAAACTTTTGATAAAAATGGAAGTTTTGAGATTGGTCTAAAATTGTTAAAATCAGTGGGATCAAGGTTGGGTTTCTTTAAAAGTGGTTGGACCACAGCATGTTTAAAAGCAGAGGGGACTACACCTTCTGCCAAGGAACTATTAATAATGGATAAAATACTGGGTCCAACTGTGTTAAAAATCTCTTTGAGAAACGTTATGGGAATAAAATCAAGGCTGCACGTAGCTGAGCTGTGGGTTAAAATTTCAGATAAAAAGGTCAAGGACACCAGCTCAAAACTGCTAAAATAACTGTTAAGTTCCCTGCTGGTGTCTAAAATACGGTCTGGGGGGATGATTTGTTGCCTAATGTCCTTGACTTTATTTTATTTATTTTATTTATTTTATTTATTTTATTTATTTTATTTATTTTATTTATTTTATAACCTTTATTTTACTGGGCAGAATTGCTTGAGATCAAATGACCTCTTTTTCGAGCAAGGCCTGGCCAAAATGGCAGCAGCGAAAAAGAAATATAAGACAAACCCAAAAAGAAAGCACAGACATGAGAAAAAGAAACAAATACAGTCCAGAAGGTGAAGAAGAAGGAGGAGGAGGAGGAGGAGAAGGAGGACAAGATTATGTTAAACCAAAACAAAGCACAACACCACAATACACACTAAAATAATAATTATGTGATGATGATAAAATACTATGCAGTGAAACATTTACACACTCCAAAATTAGCCTTTAAAAAACTTGTGAGCTGAGTTTTTAAATCATTAATAGTGATGAGTTCCTGCAATTTGAGTGCTTTTTGAAGACTGTTTCATGAGGAGGGAGCTGAGTACATGAAGGCCCTCTTCCCAAACTCAGTACGAGTTCTGGGGACTGACGTAGATAGAAAGTCCAGAGAGTGCAAACTGTATGATGGATTTGATTTAAAAGTGAGGTAGGTGCAGAGGTATGAAGGGAGTAGTCCAGTAATAGCTTTATAAATGAAGGTGTACCAGTGAAGAAGCCTACGAGCTGACAGGCACAGCCAGCCTACTTTAGAGTACAGGGTGCAATGATGGGTGAGTTATTTACAGCCGGTAATGAATCTTAACGCACAATGATAAGTAGCATCCAGCATGTGCAGTGAGGTAGAGCAGGCAGTCATGTACAGTATGTCACCATAATTTAATAATGGAATAAAAGTAGCAGCAATAAGCCTCTTTTTAGAAACAAAAGAAAACAAGATTTATGTCTGGAATAAAAGCCCAATCTCACCTTTAGTTTCTTTGCCAGGTTCTCGATATGGGGTTTAAAAGACAAATTGTCATCAAGGATGATACCAAGGTATTTAAAAGTGGAAACGGTCTCAATAAGAGTACCTTGAAATGTAAATAGAGTGTGCCGACAGTTAGTTTTGTCCCTGGATTTAGTGAAGATCATCATTTTAGTTTTATCTGCATTAAGTACCAGTCTTAAAGACAGGAGTTGGGCTTCTATTTCTTTAAAAGCAGCTTGCAAGCGATCAACAGCCTTTAACACAGTCTCTCCAAAACAATAAATAATAGTATCGTCAGCATAAAAATGGGCATTTGCATTTTGGACATATTTCCCCAAATCATTAATATAAATAGTAAAGAACAAGGGACCTAATATAGAGCCTTGTGGCACCCCCTTGTGGACAGCCAACGTATCAGAGGAGCAGCCATCAATTTTAACACATTGAGTTCTGTCTGAAAGATAGTTAGAAAACCAACCAACAGCAGAATTAGACAATCCTATATTAGCCAGTCTATGCAATAATACATCATGGTCCACCGTATCGAAGGCCTTGGCAAAATCAATAAAAAGACAAGCACAGTGGTGTTTGCTATCCAGGGCCATAAAAATATAATTTATTATTTTAGTAGCTGCTGTGACTGTACTGTGTGATTTTCTAAAACCAGATTGATAACAAGAAGACTCAAGAAATCCTTCAACTGATCACTAACCAGGCTTTCTAAAATCTTGGCTAAAGGAGACAGATTTGAAATAGGCCTGTAGTTATTGAGGCTCGACGGTTCACCACCTTTTAAGAGGGGAAGAACGTGAGCCGTTTTCCATATTTTGGGGATTTTCTTACCAGTTAGAGTTAAATTAAAAATGTAGGTCAGTGGCTCTGCATTAAAATCTGTGGCAAGTTTTAAAAAATAAACACCTAAATTATCTGGCCCTGGTGGGTTTTTTAAATCTAATTTCTTAAGAGCCTTATGTACTTCAGCAACGGTGAAGGGTCTAAAGTTAAATTCATTATCCAAAAGGGGCTCAGCAATAGCAAGTGGAGCCAGTGCAGTAGAGGGCGTATTTACTTTATCAAAAAGAAAACCAGAAGAAACAAAATACTTATTCAAACAATTGAGCATCTCAGCTCTATCGTGGATAGTGGCAGACTCTGACACAATGCAAGTTGGAAGACTAGAGGAGTTATTTGGAGATAGAGATTTGATTGTCTGCCAGAATTTCCGTGGGTTATTTAAATTTTCAGTTGTAAAGTTAAGATAATAGCTAGATTTGGCTTTCTTGACTAAGGTAGTACATTTATTCCTTAAGTATCTAAAAGTAGCCCAGAGAGCATCAGTGTTCAACTTTCTTGCTTTTGCCCAATAATAATTTCTTTCTCTGAATAAATTAGACAATTCTTCAGAGAACCAGGGATTTTCCCTGCCCTTGAATCTATACCTTTTATAAGGGGCATGTTTATCAATGATTGACATAAGCATTTCAGCAAAATAAGACCAGGCTAGTTCAACATCAGGTATTAAGGAGACCCTGCTCCAATGCGCGAAATTAAGATCAAATCTGTAGGCCTGTTCACTAAAGTGTTTTGTATCACGTTTTGTGATGTAACGAAGTTTAACTTTTGGAATTCTTGTATCCCTGACACCTGCAATAACACAGTGGTCCCTCACGTCATATGGAGATACACTTACAGAGGTATACTTATGAGGATTATTAGTAATAAACAAATCAATTAAAGTAGATTTTTCTGGGCACTTATGGTTTGGATGAGTGGGAGAATCAATTAACTATGTAAAATTCATTGAGTTACAGTATGTTTTAAATTCATTTGAGGCTGGTGACTGCCAGTCCCAGTTTAGATCACCACAGAGGGCTATCTTGTTGTCAGATAAT